ACACGTTACTTGTGTTTCCTACTCACTCTGGATCAGTTCTAAGACTTTAATGCAGAATATTACAATTGTTAATTATTTAAGTATATTTTAAGTTATTTATTTTATTTTTTAGTCTTATTTTTTTATTTATTTTTCTTTATTTTTGTTAATCGCATTATTTTAATTACATAGAATATTTGTTTAATTTGTTTTGTACTAGGTCTTTTATTATTTCTTTTTATTCTAACAATACAATATATATATATATATATATATATATATAATATGATGATTATAGTTGTTTAAGCTAAAAGTTTACTTATATTTTTAATTATATTTATTAGTAAATAATATTTTAATTAGCATTTTTTTATTGTTTTCTGTGATAAAATATTCATTAATCAAATTCCATACATTTGATTAAATAATTATATAAACTTTATCTAAAAATTTATTATTTTTATAAATCTGCCGTTTTTAATGAATATATATATATAGAGCTTCATTTTGTTTTATATTTATTTAATCTTAATACATAACGAGCATAACATATATATCGTAATAAAGAATTCAATTTTAGAACGATCTTTCTTTTATTACGCTGAATACAATCAGGAGTCATCATCGAGACTTATAAAAACAGCACGTTTCGTGAGAAAATGCCTTACGTCGTATATTTTATTCTTCGCTTTATGCTTCCGCATAAAAGAATAATCATGAATAGTCATTGCATAGTTCACTAACACGACATAAGAAAAAGCACTTTAAATAATTGCCTCTCTCAATTCGTAAAGCATATGCACAACTCTTCAAATCTCTGACAAAAGTAGAGGATAACATTTGATTCACGCCTTTATCTGCTTTCTTTCCTCTGTCTTCCTCTCTTCCTCTCTTTTTCTCCCTCGCAGCTGCTTTCGCCAAGTATTGCACAAACTGGCGCGATTCGGCCACCGTCGAATCGTCGACTCGTCGACTTTTGGAAACCACTGAACTCGTCCCGGTTGGGATATCGCGGCGGCATTTCTATGTGAGAATGGTGGCGCGGTGATGGGGCGAGGGGTGACGCGCTTGCGAGAGGGAGCGGCTTACGTCGGTGGCGAATACCGTGATAGAAGGTGTACCGGGAATATCGCACGCGAAGGTAGTAAGGTGCAAAGGGCGGGTAAAACTTACAGCCTGGATTCCGACGTTTCTTACGATGGACAGCTCATTTTACACACCCCATTTTGTTGGTAAACTTCATACGCTTGAAACACTTTTGTGTTTAATAAGAAACATATTTATCGTACATTTGTCGTATTATTTTAGTTAGTCCTTTTCTTTTTCGTTCATTTGTTTAAAAAGATCAAAATTAAAAGATTGCTTTTATATATAATGATTATATCTCAAGATATACAATATTTTTTTCTAAAATTTATAAAAATTTTTTGTACGTGCAGTCATAAATGGTTCAATAAATATTTAACTATTATTCATTATGAGAGATATGTATAATAAATCATAATATTTCTGATAAGTCTTTATCATATTGTTAATTACAAACACAAAATATTATTATATCTAGCTTTCAAGCTCTACTTAAATTATTAGTAAAACGGAACTTACCTATCACAGAAGTATTCATGTTTATATGAATTTGTGCAATTCATTTAAGTGTTATATCAAAATAATGTGAATTTATGAAACTGCAAGCAACACCAAGTACTTACCATACGAAGTCTTGGATGATCATATGAATCTTGTTCGCTGAAACCAAATTCGGAAAACATTAGGAAAACATTTTTTTTCTATATTACAAAATAAAACAAAATAGACTATTATAACCAATTATATAAAACGGTTATATAAATTGCGATATAAATAAAATATTTTCTTTATCAGTTTTCAAATTTAATATACAGAAGTATATATTACGCCTCTCATCGTTTAAAATATTGTCTGTCGGCTATTCAATATAGATTTCATGTATAAAAATGAATGTCTGCAGTTCTTTGTGCCTGAACGGTACGATCAATAATAGGAATCGCAAAAATGTTGAATATATAATCGATTAAATAATTTATACATGAATAATATAGCTATTAAACAAACATTAATATATAATAATGTTATATGTATAATGTTATGTATTTTATATGCATATCAGATGAATAATGTAATATTCATATCATTTTTTATGCATTTTCTTGTGTACTTTTTTATGTTTAAATATGCGTTCTAAGTTTTTAAAAAGAATTTATTGTAATAAAGAATTTATTGTAATAAAAAAACTTTCTTAATACAATTAAATAATTATAATATAGCATGTGAATAAGTTTCTTTGATAAATGAATAAATCGTAAATTATTGATAAACAAATTAAATTAGAAGTAATTTAATCTTAAAGAAAACAAATAATTTTTGCTATCTCTGATATTTGTGACCTCTCTCTTTCTCTCTCCCTCTCGTTACTAACAATTCTTGAAATTATCAAATTCATGAGACAAACATAATCGCAATTGTTACATTCTTTGGCTGCTCGAGAGTACAGTCGCATGTGATGAGTTGAGACAAAGGAGGTTCAAGAATGTAATCCCAGAAAACTGACCAGTACAGTCAGACCGGTCCAATTATATCAACGATCGCTTGTTGGATCTCGACGTCTTTGCTCAACTGGATAAGACACGAACACAAACGATATCAAAATCACAAGTACATATATACGTATAAGATGTACTCATGCGGGAGTAAACGTGTGAGCGAGCACACATGCGATCTCTGCGACGCATGTACCTGTTTCAAACACTATGGAATGTAAATTGCAACGCGTCAAGCATGCCAAGATAGAAGAGAGATGGAGAGACATCGAAATTTGTGTATGTGTTCGCGAAAATATGTGTGAAGGATAAAAAGAGGTGATCTGGAATCCACACTGGAACGTATCGCTTTGCCGGAGACTCGCTGGACACGTTGAGTCTTTCAGCGAATCCGTTGAAGACAGTTTTTGACGAACGAAAGAGAAGGATAGCAGGTTGGATCGCAAAAAGGAGAAATTGGGCGGCGATCGAGCGGTGGGTGCTGATCCTGGAACCCATTCGGGGAGACGCCCTGGTGATTGGGGAAGAGCACCTAGTGCGCCATCTCCGGGAAGATAAAAACAATTCGCGAACTCTCCTCTGTGTACCGATATCTGTTCGGCAAACGATGTAGAGCTCGGGATATCAAAATCTCCTAGAAGTCATTTAGATGTACATGTGAATTAAAATATAGACATAAAAATTTATATTAGAGATTATTTTATGATTTATACAGATGTCATAATGAATATTTATGAATGTTTATCTTGATCGCAGCCTGTCATGCAATTATAATTTTTGCACGACAATTAAATAATTTTTTATATAATTGATTTATTATATAGTTGATTATATAATTAATTTTTACATAATTAATAAAATTCTATATCGATTATTTGTTTTATATTTTTAATAACTAACTTTGCTAGTAACTTTTGTGCATTAAAATTTTTTTATTTTATTTAAACTAATTTTACAAATCTTTTTTAAATTTTTATAAATTGTAAGCAAATTTTTAATGTTGCAAATTATTAAAAATCATTACTTTGAATAAAACACTATTATATATATTTTGTGCATAAAAATATTTATTGAAATATTAATCAAAATATTATTTTATAATAAGCGGATAGTATAAAATTGACATCAAAAGAACTAGTTAAGAAGCTTGAACCTCAAAACTTACAATGACAACTCTTTTGACAGAAAGAAAGAGAGAGAAGAGGGAGAAGGAGGAATAGGGGGGGGGAGAGAAAGAGAGATAAAGAGGAGGAGAGAAAGAGAGAGGGAAGAAAATACAACAATATACATAGATGTATATAATAATAGTATTGTATTCACAACAATTACTGAATAAAATGTAAGAAAAGAGTTTAACATGTAATAAATTTATAATAATTTTATAATAATTCAGTTATGCTACGGAATTTCAAAGTCAAGATTCTCATGTCTTCTTTATCGATTGAGGTTGTCTAGCAATTACTTTATTTTAATAAAGTGAAAAAGGATGCCTTTTATTTAATGACTTAAACCGACATAATATAAACAAAAAATTCAATAAATCCGTAACAAGAAATAAAAAACACAATGACAATTTATACAGCCATTTATACAGAGTGTCCGATTCATAATGACACCGTTTATATGCAGGTACAGAGAATAAAACTGAGCGGAAAAGTCTTCTACCATTTTGCAATTTTCATAATTAATAAGGAGTTATTAATTATTAAAAATCATCGAATCACACTGTCGCATGTTGCTGTGTTTAGCATTTGCTGGTGGGCCGGATGGATACGATACATTTGATAATTAATAATTCATTACTAATTGCAAAAATCGCAAAATGATAAAGGACTTTTTTATTTAATTTCACTCATTCTATCTGCACGTAAATAATGCACCATTATGAATCAGACACCATGTATATCGTGCAGTCTTCTAAAATTTATAAATTAACTGATAGTGCAAAATGTTTATAAGTTGATAAACTTTTTGTACGCACGTTTTATGCACACAAAACGTTCTAATTATATAAAATATATATTTACAATCGTAGATATTGCTCACTTTACACTTTGAAACTTTACAACATTTTAGATACCAGAAATGCGGGAGTTATTAAGTTGTCTCTCTACCTTTAATGTTTCTCGACGCGCTAATCACCGGTTTACTTAATTAAACCTCTATCAGCGATGCATATATTTAGTTCTTTTACAATAATAATAAAACAACATTATATAAAGAGGCAATAGTTTTTAACACTTTTCAACAGTGACTAAAATCTTGTTAATAAATTGGATTATATTATCGTTTAATTAAGTATTTATTACTTTAAGGAAGTATTAAACTTTTCTTAATAATATTGATAAGAAGTAGGATATTGATAAGAATCAATATCCTACTAATCTTATTACTTTTTACATGTATAATTATTAAATAATTAATTATTTAAGTAATTGAATATGTATAATGCTACATCATTTACACACGCGCATATACGTAATTAAAGTTTTATTCCGTAAGAAATAAATCTGTATAGCTACAATTATTTTTAAAAATTTTTTCTAAAAATTAACATTATTTATTAGAAATAATTATTAGAAATAAATAAATTCCAGAATATAAATAATTGCAAATATCGATGATTCATACAGAAAAATTATAAATAATTTATATTAATTGCAAATATTTTAATGGTGCAAATATCGATGATTCATATAGAAAAATTAAATAATTCATATTCATTGAAAATATTTTATGTCATGTTATCCATTAATTATACATCATAATTATTACAACAATACAAAATGCGTGTTCATCTAAATATATGAAATAAGAGATAATGAGACAAATTCTATTCTATTCTTTAATTTCACGACGACAGGTATATATGTAATAATAATTATTTTGTGAATCATATAGCTTAACAATTAATCATTTAACTCCCTCAAGCAATCTAACTCGACAATGGCGTGACGAAGCGCAAAGTATGGGAAAACTTCGATTCATCATTCTCGTCTTGTATTTCGCATGGTGAACCACACACCTTCGTATAATACAAAGTGCTAATCACGAGGCGACGCACACGACGTCGGAGAGTCGGCCACGAAGCACGTGACAGCCGACCGATCGTCTGACAGCCGCGACGTTAGTGACGTAATGACGTGCGGAAGGTCCGGAACGTGCGGGACGAGCGAGCGAACAGGCGTGTGACAGTGACAGTCCCGCGAATGGGGCGGGTCTCTTAACGACATCTGCTGAGAAAGGAACGAGGAAGCGAGAAGGAATGCGAAACAGTCAAGGGGCGAAAGCGAGAGAGGCTGAGAAGTAAAGCGTCGCGAAGAGAGCGGGGTAAAACGGTCGGACTTGTGACTCGATGCGTTTTACTGCTGCTTTACGGCGGTTTATTGCACCATCAAAACATAAAATGCCCGGTCGGGAAGCGTGTGCATGCGCGTGGGTACACCCCCACTTCACTTTTACCGCCGACTGCCGGTTAAACTGGGCAACATTCCCCCGATTTCTTGCTCCAGAGAACGTTCTCGTCCGGCCATCTCGGATTCTCTCTCGTCCCCTCCTCCTCTCCCCCCTCCCCGCCACCACTGCAAACGCGGTCACTGGCTCTCTCCTGTCGCTCCTCTTTTTCGTCTTTCCGCTAAGTTCACGCCCTTCTTAATATTGCGAATTTTGTTTGCCACATCATAACTAGAGCTGCCTCAAAAAGTTTTTTTCCTTCTCGCTGTCGGATCACTGAGAGGAGTGCGATCCTTTCACTTGTCTACATATATTCAGTGTTTACAGTAATTTTCTCTCCAAAAGCACGTTTTCGTAAATATTAAATTTATTACTTATGCACGGAGAGAACAGGTTTTACTGGCAAATCTAAAAATTTGGTCAGATACAGATATGAAAATAATTTTGTTAGCACCAAAATTATAATGCAGACCGCTTAAACAAGTAATAATAATAATGCCAACATTTTTGATCTTGTAACAATCAATTTAAATGTCGTATTTAAACGTCATTTTACTAAATTTTTAGATTTACTATTAATTAAAATTGTTCCTTCTTTTTGAGAAATCAAAAATTCGGAATCTCATACAACAAATATTTTATTATATAAACGTCAGAATATTTTATTATATTATATACGATAAATATATCTATTAAAAGACACGTGAAAATTATTTA